GTTACAGCAGGAAAGGAAAAAGCAGTTTTCAAAGCTCCCTTCCTGTGATGAGTGTTCCAGTGGCTCATTTCCATTTCTCCATCAGGGTGCACAGACTGAGCTCCTGGTGGTGTGTCTAAGCAAGCAGCCATATAATTAGAAACATATTATGCATAAAAAATAGATTTTGATTCAGTTTAGATTAGTTTCTACCTTAATCTCAATTATATATGCAACAAATACATTTATTAACTTAATAAGTATTCTTTGGCTGTAATTTAAATGTTAACAAAAGACAACTTAATTGCTTTAAGAAATTTACTGTTACTCTATTTTCTGTCACTTATCAGGCGAATATTATGTATATCAATCACTGCTTTAGTGTTGAAAAAAATTGCAATTACAAGAATAACTCATATTTTAATAATGCTAAATGCTGTTTCACTATGTAAGAGTCCATTGTCAAGATGCATAATATTCAGATTTCCTTTCATTTAATAGCAGAGCCAATGAAGAGAAAAAAAAGAGATTTAACTTTAGTACCATCATATTTTCATTTCTGTTAAATATCACACTGAGTATGGTTCACATTTATCAATTTGAGTATGCAGCGGTTATGGCTTATGCTTTTGTGTATGTAATTTCTTTTATTAATTTTCCCACAAATCAAATTATATGAGAAGAAAAAGGGGAAATAAAGATAATAGTTTCATAAATATCTTAAGGGCACATCATAAATTGCATCAGGAATCATCGCTACATTGTCCTTTTTCTCTGTCTTTCAGCTGAAGGGAGAGGAATCAGAAATTCTCATATAACTTTACTTTTTCTCTCATAATAAATCATACCGTGGTTGAAATGGTTTCCAGCCTCCTTTCCGTCTGCTTCCTTGCTGTTTTACATAGGTACGAAAAAATAAGGGTGGGGTTTTTTTGTGAAAGCAGGTGCATGTATTTCAAAAGCACATGCAATCATGAGACCAAACTCCTGTCTTTAAGGAGCAGGTGTCCTCCCTTGGACAATTTAAATATTCATCTGGATTTTCAAATGCTTCTCTTTTTTTGTTTTCAGTTTCCCAAGCTGCCTCTGACCTGGTTGCCCTTTTCCTTTCAAATACCAGGAGCAGGTCATTTTGCAGAGGAGCCAGTGGCTCCTGCAGAAGGACGTGCAGTGTCCCCAGGCGAGAAGAGACCAGCCACCACAGGGTCCGGGTGGGCAGCTGGGGGAAAGCTGCACCGTGCGGTGCCAGTGTGTGGCTCTGGAGCTCAGGGACTGTGTGGTCAGGAGCAGATGACCTTTTCAGCCCAGAAGCTGCATAGCCAAATTTTAGTCTGACTGAGAGGTACATCACAGCCTTAGAGAGCACAAGAGGGGCAGTTGTGTGAGTCAGAGACTCATAGAACCATGAAATGGTTTGGGTTGGAAGGGACCTTAAAGACCATCGAGTTCCAACCCCCTGCCCTGGGCAGGGACACCTCCCACCAGACCAGGTTGCTCCAAGCCCCCTCCAACCTGGCCTTGAACCCCTCCAGGGATGGGGCAGCCACAGCTTCTCTGGGCAACCTGGGCCAGGCTCTCACCACCCTCACACCAAAGAAGTTCTTCCTAACATCCAGTCTAAATCTCCTCTCTTTCAGTTTGAAGCCAGGAAGAGGTGAACATCTTCACAGGGGTTTCCTCAGCTGTTCCCCTCTCCCCTCACTGCTGAGGGAAGCCAGCCTGCACAGTTCCTCCTAGTCTCTGGGGATCTGGATGAGCTTCGCACAGGCCAGCCCCACCTGGCAGTGGTGACCTGGCCCCAAGGAGACCTGTACGGTGACTTGCTCAAGTGCTGAACATCTGCATCTCCCCTAGCTGCATGCCTACATATCACCTCTGCACCCTGGGACCAAAGGCTGCACCAGCAGCTGTGCTTTGGGCATCTTCAGAGAGGGAATACCCAGTGAGACCTTATGCCAGAGTATAAAGAGGTTGAGAAGAATGAGCTTGCAGATGTCATGTTTTGTAGCACTTGAAGTGTAGGTAGCTGTGATCTAACACCAGAAAGGAGCGCTGCCCCGTGTCTTCCCACTTCAGACCCTGCTGGACAAGATAAATGCATTTCATCTTGACTGCTCCATCAATCAGCGTAAGAAGGCATTAAATCACAATGGAAAAGACATTGTACTCCAGTGATTGTCCTCCTGGGATATCCTAAAGCACCAAGAGCAGCCAAGAGTTTCATATAGTGCAGGACAGTAATTACCTCATGACAAGTGTGTTCCCTGGAGATCTCTTTACAGCTATTTTAAAGATATTACGGAGGGAAACATGTATATATGTTGTGGCGGAAGACGACAAAGATGGCACTTGGCAGTCACAAAAAGGAGCTTTAGCTGAGTGTGAGGCACACACTAATTGGAAGTGTTAAGAGCCAGCTGAACACCTCTTCAGCTGAAGCGCATGTACGAGTGTAACAGCCCGTTAACCACACTCTGAGGCAGTAGCACAGAAGTCGGAAAACAACACTCTTCTTTTTTCAGTTATTTAGCTCGATATAAAGCACTGCCTTTGTGGTTTTCCCTCGTAAAGGTACTTTAAAAAATGCAAGACCGTTCTTCAATCTTTTTAAAACCCACCGCATTTGACACAAACGCAGAGTATTGCTCAGGATGGATTGCTGAAGCCATGGTTTGAGTTCTGGGGAATGTCAGCGACTGACCCACACCGAAACCCCTTCACAGCTCCTCCAGTGAGACATTCAACCACCTGCCATACGCTCATTCCCGGCCTGCAGGACACCTTTCTGCACACAGTTCTGACACTTGACTATTTAAATATCATGGAAAATTACATATGGTTAGTGGCTTTCCTCTTCCCTTCACTCAAGGACAACTAAAGCATTTTTCTTTAGCCTAAAAATTTCCCTTAGACCCAATACACTGGATTTGTATTTCTATCATAACAAACCATGTCATAAGAATAATGTGTGTGCTTGAGTGTGTGTAGGAATTTTTTTTCCTGAACTGCCTATGCTTTCCTTCAAAGTGTCACCTTCATGAAGCATACAGAAAATTGAACTGCTGTATGCATAAATATTTGCTTATAAACTGTTTGCATAAAAAAAAATCTTTAAAAATTACCACAATAGTTGAAAAACCAGCAAATTAATTCAGTTATAAAACACAAGTGTTGATAGGTCAGTGCTAAACAGGCTTTAAAAGTAAATTCTGTAACTTGATTTTTAGAAAAACATTACTACAGAATACATCCACGTCTGCACATTTAAGACAGGATATTATCCTTATTTTTATCAAGAATCATGCGAAGACAAGGCGAGTCACAAATACTTGTGGATGCAATGTGCACTCCTTGTGTAATAGTCAGGGGGATGAAAAAACTACAGTGCTGCAATATTGATTACTCTTTTGCATAGCATGGAAATGAAAAAATGGTAATAAGATATTTACATTTTTTGTAATGTTCCCCTAGGGCATATGCTGATATTGAAACAGGACAGGGAAAAAAAAAAAAAGAACATGATTTTGGAGATATTATTTACAAATAGGTATTATGAAGTGCCAGTGTATTTGTATTGCCCTCTTTTTCTCTAACCAATCTCACTCAGATATAAGAATGGAAAGGCATTACTTCATTGTCAGTATTCTTGTCACATTCTTCAGTATAAAGGACTCAAATATATATTCACTTTTAAAGAGCTCAAGGACTCTTCAACAGAAATAGACGACCTCTCACAAAGGAAGAAGAGTCATCAGAAAGTCGTGCAGAAAAAGGTGAAATTCATCCTCAGAAAGGGGCCAGCACGTCGTCCATGTCCCACTTAGGTTTTCATTTGACACCCTCCTTGACTCTCATGGACTCCTGCGCCCAGTGTCTGCTCCCAGGATGAACCTCACACGGGATAATGGAGTGTACAACAGAGGCCAAAGAAAGCACTAGGAGCTGTAGAGTTTTCAGACATAGACAAAGGATATTCTGCCTAGACATCAGCAAATTTTGAAGAGCATCAGTAGATGCAGCTACAGGGTAAGGATCCAAATGAACCAGCAGTGTTTTTTTTAATTTCCAAAACTTAACTGAAGAGGAGGGACTTGCTGTGCCCTGTGCTCTTCTCTTAATACTTATTATTCCCTCTTTAGCATTCTCTTCCTCAGCTCTCCCCTACAACACACCAGGCATCGGACCCGACCTCCCCCCGACACATCCCCCGAGTCTCTGCAGAACAACACTCTGCTGACAAAAGGCTAAAGATCCCCTCCAGCCGACGACTCGGGAGCACCAGGGCTTCCACTGCTCTACGGTTTAACCTTTACTTAAAGACCAATCCATGAGAAGAAGCATTACATTTATTTTTTTCAAATCCCCTGGGTAGTTTCTGGAGACAAATTCTACCATTCTTGTGTAAGCAGAAAGCAAGAACCAGAAAATGTTACTTTTAAGAAACAGTATTTTCTAACGGAATTGAAGCTATTTAGCAAGCAGTGCCAAATGGGGTTTGTGTTAATGCAACTGGTATGTTCATAATCCACATATTTTAGTTTATATTAATTTTTCTTTAACTGAGTGGGATGAATCTTTTAACAGCCTCTTAGCTTTACCAGTGGTGGTGGTTCATTTTACCACTGTTTGTAATTATCTATTTACACTAACATAACAAATGTAGCTCCTCCAGCAGAAAGCTAAAGGTTGATGAGAAACAGAATGAAAAAGCATCTAAATGTTAGACTAGTCAGCAAGATTTTCAAGTATGTTAAAATTAATACAAGCTATCATTAGAGTACTTTACAGTTCAGTGCTTCATAAATAGGAAAAATCAAAGCAGCAACGCTTTTTGTACCCTTCAGCTTGATTTTTGTATTGTTGTATCTTCCCTTAACAAATCAGGATAGAGAAGGGCTCATAAAGCTTCCGGTATAGACCAGCAATATAATAATTCACCACTTAAAACTTGCATGCATCCAGAATGATTGAAAAATACATTCTAATTGCAGAAAAAACAACGACCGAGAACAAAGAATTACCTCTCTCAGTGCTCTAGGGTGAAGAAGGTGCCTCTCCAACACTTCACCTGCCTCATTCACTGACTCAGTTGTTTTGTCAGAGGAAAATGAAGTTCTCCCACCTCTGTCGGCTGAGTCCTACACATCCCGAAGAGCAGTAGGGTTCCTCCACTGATGGTCGTGGTTTTCTAAAATGAAATAAAATATCAAAGTACATCTTTATAATTTATGTACCCAAAAGCACGAAAAAGTGCTTCACACTGAGTACTGAGGCTGCTTCAGAAAATGACACAGTGGGAGATTCAGTACCAATTAATTCTGAATTTTGCAATGTTCATTCAAAACGAATGAGTGCATCACTCACCATTTCATTGTATCAGAACAGAAGATGTTCATTCCCACAAAGCTTTAAGTCACACAGAACCTTGACTACTTACAGTGACGTTTACCAGGTGTGTTAAACAATTAAAAGCCTTGGGAAGACAAAAGCAGGTGAAAGAGTTCTTCGGCAGAACATTGAGTATTTCAAACATTATTTAGAAAACATTTGAAATTCTGAATGATTAATTTATTCAGAGTCATAGGGCATGTCTTAGTAAAATTTGTATGCAGCAAGGCATACAGCTCTTACTCAGAGACCTATAGTACTAACACACCTATTATTGCACTAATAAATATTTAACTTGATTGACTCACAAAAATAGGTAAAGATACCATGGAAAATTGAAATTAAACATCTGTCTGCAATCTCAGCAGCAGCTGTAAACTGTGTCTTCTTATACAACCAAGTTATCAAGGGCTATCAAAAGTGCCTGGTCCAACTAACAACTGTCAATCAGGGAGAAAAGATTTGGCCCACATCAATCTGAAGGTGTTATTTTAGGCTCTTTCATGACACAAGGGTTTAACAGATTATGAAATATATATTAAAAACTAAAAGAATGCACTTGTAAAAATGGCCATATATTAAATTTTCATGTCATGTTTGTAATATTTAGTGTCCAGATGTTAGAACTTCTTTTTCTTAATGAAAGGTGCCACATTCCAGAACAAAGCAAGAAGGATGGTATTTTTGGTTCCTGAAGTGCTAGCAGTAGCTAGAAGAATGAATATCACCACCTTTTTTGTACAGAAAAAGAAACACTTAAGGAGAAAATGCATCAAGATCAGTCCAAAATGAGATTTTTGAGCTGCAGTCTGAGAGCTCCCATGCAAGTCAACAGGATTTCTCTGCTCAGGAGCTGCAACACCAGGCCATTAAATTTACTGTGTTAATGGACGATTTCAAAGCCACTGTTTCCAAAAAAGTGTAAATTAAAATAGTCTCTCTTTTCTCTCAGGTATGAAAGACATGTTAGAGGAACTGCAAGCATAAATCGAAAAGTCAGCTTATCTCTACCTGCATTTTACAGGGCTGCATTAGATCAAATAGTATCTTATATTTCTCTTTTTGTGGAGAAACATCAACAGGTATCATTGTCCAGAGCTTTTCCCATGACAATGAGCTTTTTCTCTTTCTTCTCTTTCTCTGCTTTTCTATTTCTGTAAGAGGCATTTTCCCACACGCTTCACGCACGCGTTTTCATCACTGCAAATATTCAGAGAGCATCTGGAAACAGGCTTAATCTTGGAAGAACAGAGGTGTCAAACAGGGCAACCCAAGCCCAGAGAAGTGCTCCCTGATGGAGGATGACCCACCCCAAAGCGGCTGGTGACTCGGAACTCGCACCCCCTTGTGCTCAGCAGAGTGGTAAGAAATGTTGTGTTGTTATGATGTAACCATTCATCAAGGAGGAAATGCACAAATTCATGAAATAGCCCCCAAATGGAATCTAAATTTAATTACAGATGATGAGAACCGTGAGAGATTCCGCAGTTCTGCCACCATATTCCTGTAAGGATTTATACTTCCCTGACCACAAGCGTGCCCGAGACTCAGGGGTACAACCTGCAAGACACAGTCCTGCCTCCGTGGCAGGTACAGCCAGGGAGTTTGTCTTGTTACTCAATTTGCACTTATTAGTATGGAATTCTTTCTTCTCCAACCTGTAGAACAAAGGCAAGTAGCAGATGGAAAGCTCCAAGGTGCAAAGGTTAACAGTGAAACAAAAAAATAATGAAGAATAAAGCGTGCTATTTTCATGGTAATGAAGTCCATTTGCTTTCAGCTTTAGAAGAAAGTTATTTTAGGCTCTCTAGTGATGCAAGAGTTTAACAGACAATGAAATCTGTATAAAAAAACTGAAAGCAAATATGTGTAATAATGGCCATAATATTTCTCTCCTCATGCTTTAATCCTGGCCAGGATTCTGGAAAGGATTCACACTTTAAATTTAATATCACAGTGGCTTATAAAACCCCTGAATTTTTCTTTGGTATAAGTAATTCTAAAAAAAACCTGCAATCACTCCCAAGTTTTCTGATTTTTGTATCCAAGTGGAACTGGACCCCTCTGTTTGACCCCAGATTGTCTCATCAGTGAGGTTGCTCTCTGTACCCAGCAGGGAAGGTCCTCCCTGCCACCCCAGTCCCACCCCCACCGGCAGTGCCCATCTCCCACACCAGCAGGACAGGGAGATACCTTGGCTAGATCCAGTCCTGTCCCTTTGGCCACTGTTGTCCACAGTCTCTGGAAAACTCTACTTTTTTTTCAGTAGGGCGCTGAAGCCGGTGTGAGAAAGTGCCCGGGTCACGGCTTGGAGGTGAGAGAAGCCAGAGTGTTTCCTCCAGCACAGGAATGGCCAACACCTGGTGGAGGTGAGGGCCCTGGTTGACAGGAGCTCCATGGAGTGCCACCACATCCAACGGCCAGGCGCCAGCTTTCTTTGCAAATCCTGTGAAGCTGTAAAAATGCTACAGGCAAAAATCCTCCCCCTGTGGTGCACCTCCAGCACCCTCTTCTCCACAGCTTCCAAACCCAGGCTCTACTGCCTTTTCTCATTAATTTTTGAGTAGCAGAGCAGGCACGGAGGATTCTGTTTGCCTGCCTGCCTGCCCAGTAAATGAAATTCACGGATAAAATGTCACAGAGCCCAGACCCCCGAACAAGGAGGTGTTGCAGCCTGTCTCCTCTCTTTCATTTGGGAAGATGAGGTTATCTGTGGGTAAAGACCTCATATCCCCAGCAGTGATCGGTTCCACAGAATTTTCGTCTCAGTGTTTCGCTGAACCTGAGCGCGCTGTAAGCTTAGGGCAAAATATCTGCCTCAACTTCATCCCACATCAATATGCTTTTAATGAATCTGACCCTCTAATTCTCAGCTCTCAAACCCACCAGCACTGGTGTAATGGACTGACACATTGTTTAGCATACATTTTTAAAATCTCATTTAATTTTATAGTAGATTTTTTTTTCTTTAAAACCTTACAATTTTATTGAGCAATTAAACCGTGTTCTCAGTCAGGGGGAAGAAATGCCCATAAAACAGCAATAAGCTAGGCAGTGATTTCTAGACAGGAGTTGCATTTTTATTTCCTCCATCATAATAGGAACAAGTATTTGTTTTGTAAAATAAGATGCAGCGCCTTCTAAAAAGCTGAAAATGACAATTGATTTTTTTCCTCCTTCCCCCCCCACCTTAAGTGAGATTAAGTTTAGAGTGCTTGGAATAACAAACTGCTGCTGCTGTACTGGCCCGATCAGATCAATCAGTCAAATGAAATGAGGAATAGTTGGAGGAATCTTTTCCTACAATCATTTTGCTGACTGATGGCTCCTTTCAAAGCGTCACACACTGAATTTGTTTCCACCTCTGCTTTAATGTGAACATTTTAAAGGTAACCTTGTTGCTGCCAACAAACTAGCGAAATCCTGCATCAGTTGTAAACAGCTCTGATTTGAAAGAAAGATGAGTGGAGACCTCTTTGCGATGGTGGAATGACTAGCAGTGTATTTTAAAGATGATGTTTAAAAGTGTAAAACATTATCTACAGTACCTAAGTGTGTCTTCAAGTACAGTAATCACAAAATTAGGCTTTAGCAAATGGGAATTTGAAACATATTGCTATTTGTAAGATGATATCAGTATTCTTTATTTCGCTCATCACCATTATTAAGTTGCTCTGGTAGATTCTAAGGTATATTTCTATCCACCATGAGTAAGGCAGGAAAAATGTACACTTAAAATAATTACATAAAACTGCCAGTTCCAACCGGGGTTAGAACTAGATGATCTTTAAGGTCCCTTCCAATCTAAACCATTCTATGATTCTATTAAAAAATCCCCACTGATATGTATTTAGTTTGAAGCAAATATTAAACCACAAAACCATACACAGCTAATCTATGGAGAAATTCTCCTTCCTTTTCCCACTACTAATTAAATGTCACTGGAAGAATAAAAGAATTCAGCAGTGTGTCTTCTAGAAAACACCTTGTTAAAATATCTCTGTATTATTAATACCCACCTACTTAGTCACTTTCAGTCAATGCAAATACCTAAAAAATAATTTGGATAGACACAATATAGCTCAATCTGCATATTAAATATTGAAACATTAAATTATGAAAATTACAGAGCCTATTAAGAAGGAAAAATCAGCTGCACAGCAGACAGAAGTATACGGCAAGTTGGTTTAAGACTCAATAACAACTAACAGGTTCATGGAAATGCTTAAAAACTGGCCCAGGCCTGGAGGCCAGCAGATGGGCTTCAGTATCCAGATAACAACACAGTAACAATACAGGCCACACTCCTTAATCTTTATGTAGATGTTAAGTAAATGAATTATTAATTTAATAATGCAAGTTTCTACAGGATTATAATCTTAGTCCTTTCTAAAGTAAAAATGCTACTGATCCCAGTCCCTGTCTGGCAAAGCAAAGGCACGTGAAGCTGCTGCACCACTTGAAAGACATCCTTAAACCGAAATACAATCACTCTCCTGAAGCGTGATGAGCAGAAGTGACAAGGAGGTGCTTTTAGTCGTTATTATCCTGTAGTTTACAACAGATTGAAAACTTTCTGACTGCCTAAACAGTTTCTGTCAGCGGATACCGATTTTATTATATCAAAACATATCAGCAAAATCTATCAACATCGCTGACACTTAGGGAAAAAAGTTCTCAAGAATTTTATTTGCAGTAAAATGATGTCCTTCATTTTGAATATTACATCCAATCATGAAATCAAAATATTTTACTATACTGTTCTCAAAAGGAGCATAATGTAGCTGCAACAATGCAATT